TGTTTGTGCGCATGGGGATTTTAAAAGGAAGGGCAACTTGGTCAAAGCAGGTGTACTTAAGTCTTAGGCTAATATGTAGTCTTAATTTTGGAAAATTAGTGTGTTTAGGTCCTACTTGTTGAAATCTCCCTTGATTTTGGAAGGATGGAACCAAAATCTAAGAAATTATGGCGAATAAAAGTTACACCTACGGAATTGTCAACCTGCCCAAAACTGAAATTTCAAATAATGTAAAATCAAGTATCAATATGTTTATATGTGCTAAGAAACAAAAATATTTGTTCATGCAACCATGTTTATGTCATTTGCTGTGGCACGACTCAAACTCCATCCAATGGTGTGACCTGGAACTTTTGCTCACATCCAATGTTATACGTAGTACTCCCTCTGTCCCGCTAAGATTGTCTCATTTTACCTTTTCGGGAAGTCCCACTAAGATTGTTCATACCAAATTTGGTAAAATTTGTGTGACTCTAAATTATTCTTACTTTATTCTTACTTTATCAATTTAATATCAACCACACAAGCTCACTTTTCTTAATAACCGTGTCTCTTTCTCATGTCTCAATCTTAGTGGGAAGGAGGTAGTAATTCTTTTTGTTTTTGATGAAAAATTCTAGTCAACTAGCACAACAATTATAATCCTTTAGTATTAGTTGCTAGTAGTTAGTATAATAGTAGGCCTAGTACGAATAATGGTACGATTAAATACGGAGTAATACGTAGTAGAATTTAGAAAAACTCACATCCAAGAAAAGCTTTTGCTCAGACATCAAACTCTAGGAATCAATGATACATTCATATTGAATATCAGTAGAAGTGAACATCACGAGTTCGCTTTTGATGGGAACTCAAAATACTAAAGGATCTGGAAAGGTAAGTGCAGGAGGAAGAAACAAGGATTGTCACAGGAATGAAAAGTGAAAAAGCAAGGTAGATATGTACTCGTACGAAGTAGTTATTTTGTCATTTCAATTCTAGAAGTGTTGATTATAAATTAATAATCTAAATAAAGAGGTGTTGATGTAATTAGTTCTTCAACAAGAACTTATCGATCTGTTTTATATGTTTATTTATTTATTGCATATATGTATATTTACCGTGTTTCTTCCTCCTCTTTATATTCACTCTGAGCTCACAGGTTATGTTGAAAATTGAAAACAAAAAGATCTTTTCTAAATTTATAGGGAATCAGGGGCCTCTACCTTGCTTTGGCCGGCAAGGAGGGTGCCTGGTCATTTTCAACTTTCAAATGAAAAAATTAAAGGTTGAAGATCAAGGGGTCCACTTCATTCACATATCTCAAGACCATGGATTAAATCTCTACCCTCCATTGCACTAAGGCACTCTACCTTGAGGCCGAGAATCCAAATCCATTTATAGGTAGTATGAAAAAGTGACTGTTGTACATTGACTGTCCTTATTGTCTCGAGAAAGAGTGGTTTTACATTTGTGGAAATATATGGAATAATTACACGTTGCCTGACACATCCAGTTTCAAAAAACAATTCAAGGAGTATTATTATTAATCTGTAACGTAAGAATCGAACCCAAGGATTACATTTTACTCATCCAGCAACAGAGCCACTTGAGTTCATTCACATGTTGCCATACAAGGAGACAATACACAAGAGAGACAAAATAGCACTGTATACACATCAACTACTTTATGTATACTCCCAAGTCGATCTTTACCAAAGTGTACGTTGACATGCACCTACTTCCTAGGTCTCAACTGCAACAAGTCAAAAAGTGGTTTTGGTTTGAGAAGAAGAGAATAGAGTATTATTAGTTCATAACAATAATTGTGTTATGAACTACTATTATTTGAGAATAATTAAAATGAAAATGTTCCAAATTGAACTCAGACACGGACAAAATGCAGATATAGGAGTAACTATCTATGCATTTTGTCCGCGTTTTAGTTTGATTTAAAGAATTCTCTTTAAAATAAACCTGGCTGCTATGACCACATTTCTTCTTCCGGCAATTCGTGGCTCTTGGGGGTAGACGAGCGTAACATCTTCAAAGAGAAAGACATAATATGACCAAATAATACACAAATAAGTTGATTCAAGGAAATAAGAGAGATAATGGGCAAGAAAATCATATTGAGGACAAATAAAATTAAGAAGATGAAGATGAGGCATACTTGCAGCAAATCATCTTGTCCAGATTGTGTTTGTAAGCCAAAGCCTTCAGTGATGGCTCCACTTTGTAAACGGCCCAGCCCCAACATCGCCTATTAATGGTTCGGCGCCCTCCCCCTCTCAGGCTCAGCACAAGATGAAGCGTTGCTTCTGCAGCAACACAACAAGGGCAAATCTCATGCTCCGTATTTTAGTATATAAGTAAGATCAGATCACCATTGTGTTTTCTCGAAGCTAATTAAAACACTTCAATTCTAATCCATTTATACACATTTATCATGTATATATAACTCTTATTTGTAGTAATTTATTTTCAAGTAACACATACTTCTTCTTTTTTTGAACAAGTAACACATACTTTTTTAGTTCTTCTTTGTTGCAATATTTGCATCTATAGTAATTTTTAAATCATTGATACATTAACTTCGAAATTGGTAGAAAATAACAAATCAATTAACACGCATTTGAATGAAAATGAACAGAGCAATTATGAGTTCTAACTATCTATAATTGAACAACCTTTTTCGATGTTGTAGTGAGCCAAGGTTCTTCCATCTTCAAGTTGTTTCCCAGCAAACATCAACTGCTACTCCTCACATGGAATTCCTATACATGATAAACAACGATCACACACGTACTTACACCGCTAATTAAAACGATAGAACATTCAGAAAGCTTAGATATAGAAAAAATAGATGGATTGATGAAGGATTTTATCAGAACACATTATATATATATATATATATATATATATATATAAAGTCACCTTTTGTAACATTTGTTTTGTTATTAAAAAATCCGGTAAATGCTCCATCACATTTAGCCCATTAATTTTAGTCGTTTACCTACTGGATTAAAAAAAGATTGTATATAAAAATATGTTTACTGACCACTATTATTCATTTATTCTATATATGAATGTATGATATTTATTTTCTTGCATTCTAAATCAACGTTTATACATGTGAAAGACATGATTAGTATGTCTAATGTGTGACTCTTGAGACTTGAAAATTATATTTTCCCTTATACACAAAAAAATACTAAAATCTAAATTACTACTCCGTATTATTTTGTCTTTGATCTCATGTGACTTTTTAGTCATTCAAATTACTTTGAAAAAAGTTAAAATGGGGATGTACTCATGTACGTACGTATACACATCAAGTATTATTATTATATTATGTCACTTTCTAAAGGGTGATATGATTTTTTCAATGGGGGTAGGGGTGGACTTGGATCCGTCCGGTCCGATTCCGGGTAGGGTCCTGGCCGGTCCTGGTTCTAAATAATTGAGGTCTGGTACTGTTAAGACCCGGAGTTCCATCATAAAAGGTCAACCTGATAGGAGGAATAGCTCAAAGCCTTCTATAGTATTTAATTGTTTTATAGCTTTCTGGTGTGGGACAAATGTTTCAACAGGTACCGACCCGGTTTGCTCCGGGATTGGTTCCGGCCCAGGTACCCGTCTAGGCCATGGGCTGGTTTTGAGTCGGGTCATGGGTCACCCCATGGCCTGCATTTCCCCACCTTCCCCAGTTGATGTATATAATGTTAATTACTCGTTCCTTTATTATATGAATGGGTTGTGTTATTGTTTTTTTATTTTTTATATCATTACCATCAGGATATGTGGATCATAATCAAACATAAGACCACACGTTCATTTGTCTCTCAATGTGTTATACTAGTATATCATATTCGAGAATTATGGTGTTTTTAGTTAGACTTATTCGAATCGCAGGGCAGACTACATTAGTTAAACTAGATCAGACTTGACAAAACTTTGACAATCAAAAAATTAACAGAGGTATTTGTGAACGTATTATTCTTAGTCACCTATCATTTGTACCTCTAAAGCTCTAATTGATATTCTCATGTATTCTCAAATATGGAAGGTTTTTGTAAGGCTCTAATTGATATTCTCATGTATTCTCAAATATGGATGATATTTGTGTTGAGAGCATACGGAATGTAATATTTGACATCAAAAATTTGTTTTGTATTGAACATCTTCCCTTTTTGATACTTCAACACTTTAATGAGCTCATTAATTAATTTTGGAATGTAACTGCCGTATTAACATATAGAATAACATGATTTACATAACTTGCCTTAAGATTATATTACTTGCAAATGTGGTCTGAATTAATTGGACTCAATAGCAATATGTAATAAATTCATAATTGTACTCAATAGCAAATAGTTGAAAATTCAATTACAATTTCAAGGTTCAACTTTATTAGTAAGGAAGTAGATAATTAAGAAACCTCTTCTTGCATAGGAATGTACCCGGTTCTTGTACCGAACCACATCATGAAAGGTATCGCAAGTACATCATACTTTCTATCAAAGACTAGACTAAAATGAGATAAAATTAGGATAAGGTAGTTTCATCAACGATTCCTTCACAAACCACCCCATTTTGGTTTTTAAAAAAGGACCAAGAAACGATCTAAACTAGGACGTATATAATCGGTTAAGAAACCGAAACTGAAAATGCAAATAATATAAAACCAAGTGTCAATATGTCTATAATATACCATGTATGTGTTAAGAAACAAAACATGTGAACCTTGGCACACATAAACATGGTGGCATGAGCAAACTCCATCCAATGGTGTAACCTGGAACTTTATTTAAGGAGGAGATCACTAGTAAGCTGGTATATTTCCTTTCCTATATATTTGACGAAGATTTCTAGTCCACTAGCACAACAATTATAATCCATTGCATATGCGTAGTAGAATTTAGAAAAACTCACTTCCAAGAAAAACTTTTGCTCAGACATCAAAATTCAAACTACTCTAGGAATCAATGATACATTCATATTAAATATCTAGGCCGGAGTAGAAGTGATCATCACTTCTACATAAACATTTGATGGGAACTCAAAATACTAGAGGATTTAGAAAGGCAAAGTGCAGGAGGAAGAAATAAGGAATGTCACAGGAATGAAAAGAGAAGTAGCAAGGTAGATGGTTACTTTGTCATTCCAATTCTAGAAAAGTGTTGATTATAAATTAATTACCAGAGTACTTGATCAATTAATAATCTAAATAAAGAGGTGTTGATGTAATTAGTTATTCAACAAGAACTAATCGATCTGTTTTATTTGTTTATTTATTCATAGCATAAATGTAAATTTACCTTTGTTACTTCCTCCTGTTTAATTATATACACTCTGAGCTCAAATGTTTATGTTGAAAAATGAAAACGGAACGATTTTTTCTTAAATTTATATGAAAATAGTGACTGTTTTACATTGACTGTCCTTTTTGTCTACAGAAAGAGTGGTTATACATTTGTGGGAAAAACATGGAATAATCACACGTTGACTAATACATTCCAGTTTCAAAAAACAAAGGAGATTTACCTTAATAGGATCACAACATGTATTTTTTCTCAAAATAGGAGTACTTAGTTTAAACATCCTTAAATAGGACTTTTTTTTAGTGATTGGACCAAAATACCTCTCACAACCTTTACCACTGCTGCCCAGGGACTGCCGGACCGCCGCCTGCCGCCGGGCGCCGGGCGCCGCCGCCGGAGCTCCGGCAACCGCCGCCAGAAAAATTTCAGATTTTTTTCTGGATTTTTGCCAACATTCTGCCACCACTTGCCGCCGGCTGCAGGAAACCGCTGCCGCCACCTCCGGACTGCCCCGCTATCAACGGACTGCCTTGGTTGTGCAAGAGAACTAGGGGGGGCAATTAATTGGGTTAATTAATTGCCGGAGTTGCCGCCGCCGCAGCCGGAATCCGCCGCCGGCCGCTGCCGAAGTACCGCCGCCACCACGGGCTGCCCCGCCACTGACGGACTGCCTTGGTTGTGCAAGGAAACTAGAGGGGCAATTATTTAGATCAATTAATTAATTAAATAGAATTAGGGGTAAAAAAAGGTAAGTAGTCCTATTTAGAGAAAAACATGCATGTGATCCTATTTTGAGAAAAAGGTTGAGTTTTAGTCCTATGTTGGACAATTTTCTCAAAAAACAATTCAAGGAGATTACTATTATTACTCCGTATTAGTTTGTAACGTAAGAATCAAACCCAAGGATTACATTTTACTCATCCAGCAACTTGAGTTTCTTCACAAGTTGCCATACCAGGGCAGCCACAAAGAAAAAGAAAGGAAAAAGAGAAACAGAATAGCAACTAGCAAAGTGTATACAAAATTACAAATCAACTACTTTATGTATACTCCCAAGTCGATCTTTACCAGTGTACTCAGAAATGCCACTACTTCCTAGGTCTCAACTGCAACAAGTCAAAAAATTGTTTTAATTTGAGAAGAGAATTGAGTATTATTAGTTCATAACAATAATTATACTAAAATTTGAGAATGATAAAAATGAAAATGTTCCAAATAGAACTAAAACACGGATGGGCAAAATGGAGATATAGGAGTAACTATCTATCATTTTGTCCACATTTTAGTTTTATTTAAAGAATTCTCTCTAAAATAAACCTGACTGCTATGACCACATTTCTTCTTCCGACAGTTCGTGGCTCTTGGGGGCAGACGAGCATAGCATCTTCAAAGTGAACAACATAATATCAGCAAATGATACGCAAATAAGTCGATTCAGGGAAATAGAAGAGATAATGGGCAAGAAAATCATATTGAGGACAAATAAAATTAAGAAGAAGAAGATGAGGCATACTTGCAGCAAATCATCTTGTCCAGATTGTGTTTGTAAGCCAAAGCCTTCAGTGATGGCTCCACTCTCCAATCGCCCCAAAATCGCCTAATGGTTCGGCGCCCTCCCCCTCTCAGGCTCAGCACAAGATGAAGCGTTGCTTCTGCAGCAATACAACAAGGGCAAATCTCATACTACGTATTTTATTATCTAAATAAGATCAGATCACCATTGTTATTTTTTTCTCTAAGCTAATTAAAACGCTTCAATTCTAATCTATTTATACACATTAATCATGTTTAACTCTTATTTGTGGTAATTTATTTTCAAGTAACACATACTTTGCGGTTCTTCTTTGTTGCAATATTTCCATTTATAGTAATTTATTTTAATCAGTGATACATTTACTTCGAAATTAGTACGTAGTAGAAAATAAAAAAGATAATCAGAATTTGAATTTAAACTGTAACGAATTTAACAAGAATTTTGGATGGAAAAGAACAAATCAATTAACACGCTATAGTCGGCTATAGGCCGCTACCGCGATGACCGCTACCACTGACGCTACCGCTACGGCTATTTAAAACCTTGATCTATCTACAATTGAACAACCTTTTTCGATGTTGTAGTGAGCCAAGGTTCTTCCATCTTCAAGTTGTTTCCCAGCAAATATCAACTGCTGCTCCTCACATGGAATTCCTATACACAAACAACGATCATACACTTACACAACTACATAAAACGATAGAACATTTGAAACGTCTTCTCCGCCAGATCAGACACAACTTTCACAAAGCTTAGCTAGAGAAAAATAGATGGATTGATGAAGGATTTTATGAGAACACATTATATATATATATATTCACGTACCTTCCTTGTCTTGGATTTTAGCCTTGACATCGTCAATGGTGTAGCTACTCTCGACCTCCAGAACTAACGTCTTCTCCGTCAGAGTTTTCACGAAGATCTGCTTCATTTTTTCTCTGGTTTCTCGATCGATCGTTCCAAGTTCTGTCTCTGTTTTGTAATACGCTCTGCAGGGAACTAATAGGGGTTTTTATGGGACCAGTAATGTCCCTTGACGTCATGACGTGCTAGCCAAGTGTTTTCATTTTTGCTTGTTTGAGAAAATGAAGAAGAGAAAGGGAAAATATGCGTGTTGGGCAAGTAAACGTGCAACCGCTACTTCTCACAAATGGACCAGTTTCACCTTTTAGAGCCTGTTTGGAGACCTCTTTTTTCGGTTTATCAGGCTTATCAGTCAACTTTTTCACCAAACACGTAACTTTTACTTTTGTGTGCTGAATTTTGTAATAAGCAGAAAAAGTAAGGTTGGAGTTACTTTTCTGGCTGTATTGGCTGAAGTTACTGTAGAGGACTATTTTAGCTATTTTTACATGTAATGTTTTCTATAATTTATTAATAAAATATTTTTTTCTTGAATCAGCAGAATCAGCCAAAACAGCCAATTCAGCCAGAATTTCATAAATTTCAGCAGAATCAACCAAAACAGCCGATTTTCGTTCTACCAAACGGGCTCTTAGTGTGGTTATTAAAAAGCTGGCAGGATTCTCGGTGCAGGGACATTTCTGTAATTTAGCTTCAGCTACAGACCGTTTTTAATTTCCTATCTCTATATTTGCAAAAGAGAGTTTTGAAAAGTATATTATTATAACTATTATTGTTACTACTCCCGTCCCTAATAAAACTTCCAAATAGGTTTGGCACACAGTTTAAGATAGTAGGTATTGTGTGCTGGAGAGTTGTGCAGAGGAGAGAGAAATGTGTAAGAATTGTTGTGAATCACAAATTCTGATCAAAAAGGGAAAGTGGAAGTTTTAATTGGGACGGACGGAAAAGGAAAGTTCGAAGTTTATTTAGGGACGGAGGGAGTACTATATAGTGAGCCCGTTTGGTAGCACGAAAATCGGATGATTTGGTTGATTCTGCCGAAATTTATGAAGTTCTGGTTGAAGTGACTGCATTGGCTGATTCGCCTGATTTAAGGGAAAAAAATATTCTTAAAATATTTTTTATTAATAAAATAAAGAAAAAACTATATGTAAAAATAGTTAAAATGGTTATCTACAGTAACTTCAGCCAATAAAGCCACACAAGTAACTTCAACCTTACTTTTTCTGCTTATTACACATTCATTCAGCGTGCGAAAACAAAAATAACGTGTTTGGTGAAAAAGTTGGATGATAAACTTGATAAGCCGAAAAACAGTGTTGTCAAACGGCCTCAGTATTATTTACATTATATTATCATTGGTGGTGGTGTTGTTGTCATCATATCATTTGTAGGTTATTATAAGTATAACGTGTAGTTCTTGCTTAAAAATAAAGTTATTACACTATTATTATTTGTATGTTATTATTGTAGGTTGTTCTATCGATCAAAATCGAACCGATCAAAATTCAAAACCAAAATTGAAATACTAAAACCGACTGGCAAACCGATCGAAATCGAACTGACCAAAACCAAAATCGGCTAAAACCGAAACCGACTAAAACCGATTAATCATTGGTGGTTCGGTTTACGGTTTCACCTTTTGGGTTAAAAAATCGACCTAACCAAAACCGGTCGATAAAAACCGACAAAAACATGCTAAAATGAGCTAACCCAAACCGAAACTGACTCAAGTAGTGTGGTTCAGTTTACGGTTTCACCTTTTCCAAAACCCGAACCTATAAAACCAAACCGATGAAAATGAATTGATGAACAGTCCTACGGTTACATGATATACTGTAGATGCTTCTAATTGGAGTGGAGTTTTCTAATTTATTTAGTCTGAACTCGTCTGAACTAAATTAGTCCGGTCCGGTAGACGTGTGGTCTACATATATTTTATAATTATTGAGAATATAATAATTGTTTTAACTTTGCATTTAAGTTAAATCACGACATGCTAAATCAGCATATAATTGTTTTCTAACTTTCATTTTCTTCCTTTCTCTTTCATTTATATTTTATTTGTTTTAACTCTGCATTTTACATATCTAATACAATGTAATATAATTATTTTGTAGTGAAACAATTACACATTTACACTTCCAAAATACGGTGGGCACCCCTTGGTGATGGAGATTTTTTTATTAATTATTAAAAATTTGAAGATAATATTAAAAACATAAAAGTTGAGGGGGGGATAAAATTTTAGTAGGTAAATTTTAATGAACTAAAAAGGTTGGGAGGGACCAAAGCCCCTTGGTTAACACACACCTCCGCCCATGTTCACGAGCTCTAAGGCGGCCATAAATGGTCGTGACTTCCGTACCTGGAGCAGGGATGACAACATATAAAGTTATAAACACTTCTGTGCCCCCTTTCATCAGATCATGGCCCCTTTCCTGCTCGTGAGAGAGATGAACGACTCAGAGTATGGGTCTTATTACTAATAGCCAAATATATTTAGGAATTTGCCTAATATATATTTAGGAATTTACCTAATACTTCGTATATATTTAATAATATATTGTATTTTGGAAACTCTTCTATTGTAAATATATCTGTCAGGACTCCTATTGGAGTACCCTTTTCGTTGCAGCACCTCCTGCCTTGCTCTCTCGTTTGCTCCGCCGCTTTGTTGGTCGCCCTCGCGTCTCAGCTAACTGTTATAGTAGCTCGATGGTCTTCATCCGCCATTAATGACTGCCTGAGAGCTCTCCGCTCACGACCGAGGCAGCATCAGCATTGAGGGTTTCTTCTCCCTCAATCACAAAAAACAAATATACCAAGATCAAACTAGATTTAATCCCCTCTTTGTCATCATTAGACGGCGGCCATCTCAGATGGTGATTAATTCCTCACGACCACTGAGATTTCATCTTTGGAAGGGATGGCACGATATGGTAAGTCCGGTATACCGAAATTTCGGTATTTGTTCCCACCTCTAGAGATATGGGAGTAACTATCTATCATTTTGTCCACATTTTAGTTTTGGGATAAGGGCCAGTTTGGTCCTCGAAGTTGCAAAAAAGGGGTCAAATAAGTCCTTATATAGAAAATTTTGTCCGGACGTACCATTTGAGGTGGCTCCCGGTGGAATTTTTTGATGAAAATTTTTGAGCATCGTATTCATTAAGTCTAGTTTACTCATACCAAATTTCAAATAAAAATTCAATCGGGAAGACATTCAAATGAATTCTTGAAGATAACTGTGCCGTTAAAAGCGCAGTTATCTTCAAGAATTCATTTGAATGTCTCCCCGATTGAATTGTTTGCTGAAATTTGGTATGAGTAAACTAGACTTAATGATTAAGATGCTCAAAAAATTTCATCAAAAAATTCTATCGGGAGCCACCTCAAATGACACGTCCGGACAGAATCTTCTATATAAGGACTTATTTGACCCCTTTTTTGCAACTTCGAGAACCAAACTGACTCTTTACTCTTTTAGTTTTATTTAAAGAATTCTCTCTAATATAACCCTGACTGCTATGACCACATTTCTTCTTCCGGCAGTTCGTGGCTCTTGGGGGCAGACGAACATAGCATCTTCAAAGTGAACAACATAATATCAGCAAATGATACACAAATAAGTCGATTCAGGGAAATATAATAGATAATGGGCAAGAAAATCATATTGAGGACAAATTAAATTAAGAAGATGAAGATGAGGCATACTTGCAGCAAATCATCTTGTCCAGATTGTGTTTGTAAGCCAAAGCCCTCAGTGATGGCTCCACTTTGTAAACGGCCCAGCCCCAACATCGCCTATTAATGGTTCGGCGCCCTCCCCCTCTCAGGCTCAGCACAAGATGAAGCGTTGCTTCTGGAGTACGTATATGGTACAGCCGGCTGTACGGTGAGCACCGTACAGCCAGCCCAGTAACAGGTCCAAGCGAAAAATAGAAAAAAAATTCGGTGGCATTTTTGTATTTAATCTGAAAATCGTGTTTCTACTAAATGAGCATTAGTGTACTGTTAATGAGCAATTGTCCAATTTTAATGAGCACCGTGTTATTACAATAAAACTGATATCAAAACTAAAAATTCGGTGGCATTTTCGTAATTTCAGTGAAAATCGCGGTTTTCGTTATATTAGCATTAATACATTTTTAATGAGCATCAAATGTATTCTACTGAGCATTAAGAGTCGATAAATGAGTATTGTGATATCAACTTCATATAGGTAATTCACTTTGTTTTTCTTATTTTTTCTTTTATAAAAACTCATTAATGAATTTCAATATGTGAATCTAATGTAATATAGTACTTTTGAAATATGCATTGTTATGACATTTTAAAAATGAGCATAACTTGAATACAATTTGAGCATATGTAAATTACAAAATGAGCATTGATATGAAAATGATAAGGTTTGTCAGTTGGACGTCACAACATTTTCATTGAACATCAAACCTCCTATATTGAGATGAAAATAACATTTTATGTTAAATGAGCATTAATGAACTTTTAATTAGCACTAGACCTATTATATTGAGTATTAGGAGTCTGATACTGAACATCATAATCTCTGTTTCATATCTTTTAATTCACTTTCTTTTTATATTTTTTCTTTTATAGAAACTTATTAAATTATATTTACAATCAATCCCTATGAAGTTCAATATGTGAATCTAATACAATATGATACTTTTGAAATATGCATTGATATTAAATTTTAAAAATGAGCATAACATCAGTATCGATTGCGCATATATAGCTTACAAAATAAGCATATTAATATGAAAACAATAAGCTTTGTTAGTTGAGCATCAAGACATTTTTCATTTAGCATTAAAACTCCTCTATTGAGTATTAGAAGCATGCAATTGAGTACTGATTGAGCATTCATAAATTATAAAATGAGTATCAGTATGACAATCATAAGTTTTTTAGTTGAGAGAGCATCAAGACGTTTTATTGAGTATCAAATCTCCTCTATTGAGTATTAAAAACATGCAATTGAATATCATGGTATGCGCTCTCGTATTTGTAATTAACTCTTACTTGAATCTAATACAATATGCTACTTTTGAAATATGCAATGATATAGTCGTGTTGTTTTTATT